TTGGTTACTGGAACTTGTATGGCGCGGGCCTATACGGAGGCGGATGTGGTCTTGGTGTCCCTTTCGGCGGTCTGAAATATCGCTAGTTACATTGCTTAGAAGTTTAATGGAGCCTTTGACAAAATGCTTTGTCCAAGTTAAGTGATATCTTTGTTTAAAATAAATTGATACTCTTGCGCTCCATCCCGGAGCATAATTCTTTTGCTGTATGTTAACGCGCCTTATGGGATCTACCTTTTTTTTTGTTCGCAGTTCCGACGATGTTGTATAATGCTGTGAACCTCATTAATACCGTCCTCTTCAATTTGTATCTCCTTTTATGGTATGTAGTATGGATCGTGTATTTGTTTTTGTTAGCTACAGCGGCTTTCTGTGTTATTCGTCCTGAAAATGCACGTCAATAAATTGGGGTCTTCAAATGCTAAAAATGCTGACGATGATGCCGGACGGGTTTCATGACTTGATTTTCTCTTAAATTTCTTTGTTTTAGTATGTGCTCTTCGCTACCAAAAATAGTAATGTAATACTTGCCAACATCTAAAATATGTGACTTTTTCTGTTTAAATATTGCGTCTGTGAATGTTGCTTTATCACTGTGCGATTTGTAGGTTGCGTAATTTGAATCATCACGTTCACTCCAATCACTTTACAAAGAAGGCTACATAATTACTAGAGATCTGCCGACTATAAGGTGTTGTGACGCCACGTCACAGATTTGTGTACGGTGTACAATGGACTTGTAGGTTGAAATGAAAACTTTCTGAAGATCAAGTTTGCAAGGTTACAGAACATGTGTTAGTGGTAAGGAGCTGGTTAGGGTTCTGGTTGTAAGTTTTCTTTCCATTCTGCGCTTTGGGTAACAAGACATCGCTAAAGCTTATGAGCTCAAACGCTTCCAAGCCCAACGAGATACTCACCGACGACAATCACTACCTGTGGGAGTTCGACGCCCGGATGGCGTTGGCCAGAAATGGGCTATTAGGACACCTCGAAGCCGCAGTGGAAGGCCGCCGCCATGAAGGCGCTCGCTATTGTGGTCCAATACTTAAATCCAAACTACCACTCGATGATTCGTGAGCTTTTATGACGCAAGGGAAATGCTGCGTGCTCCTTCGTGAAGCAGTCGCTTCATAATCGTGTGCAATTGAGGAGAGTGCTGCATGGATTTTCGCTAGGCGTGGGAGGAAATCTGAAAAAGCACATCGTGAAGTTTTATGATCTGTGTTCACGGTTTACTGCGGTAGGCAAGGCCGTGTCTGTGGACGAGAAACTAGTCGTTTTACTTGGAAGTTTACCCCAGGAGTATGATGCAATGATAAGCATTATTGAGGCCCACGAGAAGGTGACATTGCTGGACGCAAAAGAGATGTCTGGCCGTGAGTTCGATTTGGCTAAGAAGAGAGAGGAGAAGAGCAAGCAGTCAAGGCCTCGACGCACGATCAAGGTGGTCAAGGTGGTTGTGGAAGAAGTCACAGAGGTCGAAGTGGTGGTCGAGGTGGCCGTGGCGCTCGTGGATGCTACAATGGTGGTTGTGGACTGCACCAGAAGAAGAGTACTGGGCTAACATTTCGTGGGTACTGCTCTAATTGCAATGAGTATGGTCATAAGCGTGACGACTGTCCTGAGTTACAGAAATTGGAGAATGTAAGCTGCTAATCGGCATGCTGCCTGGTTGTGGCCGAGCACCCCACAGATGGTGCACTTGTAAGGCTTCCTCGCCTTTCCGCCAACCCCACCATGGGATCTGATGCGTCGTTTCCTTGGACGACCTGCTTGTCGAACTTACGCTGCTGGGGAGATACTAAGGTCAGCTGTAACCCTCAGGGATCTCTAGTGCCCCGATATTTTCTTGGTACGAGGCCATCTCCATGGCACACGCCTTCAATGTAACGGTAAAACAAGAATGACTACACTCGGTAATTTTACCAGGTCTCCTATTTTTAGTGTATCACATCTCGCGAATATTTTCTATCTGTATCACCTTTTGCAATAGTTTTAATTATGATAAAGACAACTGCACAAAAATTTTATTTCTCTATTGTTCTTTTCTGAAGCTCCCATCTATCTTTGCCCCTCATTCTGATCTGGATTTTGCGGCCAGTGGGGCACTAAGGTTGTTAAACAGTGTAAATCTTGCATGAGGGGTTGTGGGGGTCTTAGCAATTCAATCGCATAGAAACAAGACTCTTTAGTTAGGGAAGATGTATGGAAATTGGCACGCAACAACAACAATTTAGTAGAAGCCCAGACAGACCAGTCAAACGCTCAAGCGGTGATACAGCAGCAGATGAGATGTTTATTTGACAAGTTTGACTATGTGGTCGTGTACATGGACGATCTTTTCATCTTCTTTCATACCATGGAAGAATGCGTCCGCATGTTGCTTTCATTTGCACAGTTCTTTGAAGAGAGAATCCACAAAACGTGACTTTGGTGTGGGAATGGCTGACTTTTTGGGGCACACGATATCAGAAAAGACTTACACGTTGACGCAAAGACGATCTGAACCATAAAGAAATGGTATGCCCTTAATCGAAAGAGGGTTGATTGAATTTTCTTGGACGAACGGGACATTGTGAAAAATGCATAGCAAACAATGCCAAACTTGTATAAACATCGAGTGTGTTAGTGAAAAACAACAACATGGGGTTGGAGAGAAGAGCAACATAAATTGTTCTTTGTTGTCAAACTGGCGTTGCAATAAGCTCCAGTGCTCCAGTTGGCGAATAACAACAAGCCATTTATCGGGACAAACAGATGCATCAGAATGTTGATGTGGAGCCGTAGTCTCACAACTCGACGAAAAAGGCAAACACTGACCGGTGGCATCTTTGTCCAATAAACTGAGGCCGCATGAATCCAACTGACTGGCTTACGCAACTGAATTTCATGCAGTCAAGCTCGCGCTGACATCATCTCCATGGAGATCACTTTAATACTCTCACGGATAACTCGGCGTGTAAGTGGTTTTTTGAAAACGCCGACTCTCACACCCAAGTCGACGCGATGGTTATTTTCAGCGATTCAACTTTACAATACGCCATAGATTAGTCAAATTGAATGTGGTGACCGATGCCTTACACAGCCACCAACGTCTCCAGCACGTTTCGTCACATGCACACTCGCATGATTGCTCTGCAACTATACGGTCATTGTAAGCGATAACACGTCAACATTGCGGCCATGAATAATTTACCATAAAGAGACGAGGAAATAATGCCTGACACCCTTTTTCTGGGAGGATATGCATTAAGATAAAATGCCCGTAGTGGGAATTTCTCAACGTCACGCGATTATTCACTCCAAACTTACGCCGTACAGCACGGATGAAATGGATGTAAGGATGAAAGAAAGATTTCACCGTGCATACAAAACAGATCCAATGTTTGCAATGAATTCATAAAAAAGACGGGCACTCACCTACGAAGATGGACTCTACTTCTCCACGACAAAGAACAATGCGCGATGACTAGGTGCGCCAAAGGATCGAACTCTCAGAATAAAGATTATCTCGCAAGCGCATGACTCGAGTTACTCCAAAACACGCGATATCTTGGATATTGATTGTGAAGGAAACGGCGAAACAGGTTGCTTACCCTCCATTCATCCATTGCATATAGTCTTAATGCCACGGCGCATAGCTGGCATACCATGCGTGACATTCTGAGTTTTGACCATACCTCTCTCGCTCAAATGTCCCATGCGCGCGTGCCACAGCTCCCACTAAAGGTCAGCATCGCGCATCTTCAAACTTGCAATAAAAGACGAAAGTCTATATTTGTCAATCATATGTTGCTGGACCTGTGTAGTAATTTCTATACGGTCGATTGATGGTACTGATGGGTAATTTCAGAGACTGATTATACGTCCATTTATACTTCTAGAAAAACACGACAAAGTGTAGCTTCAAGCTGTCCCTGGGACACTTGTTGTCAGCATCAGCAGTGACCAGACTGACAAAAGCAATTGTATCAAATAGAGGGAATAGTCTCATACTAAACATTTTCTTGGTGTTGCCAAAAAGCAATTTCATTTTGAATAAATTCGATCAGGTCGGACGTTGGCAACTATCGATTTAACGATGTCTTGTTACTCGCAGCGTAGAATGGAAAGTAAAATCAGCTACCAGAATCCTAGTCAGCTTCTAAACACTAACGCATGTTCTGTAACCTTGCAAACTTGGTCTTCTGGGAGGTTTTATTTCAACTTACAAGTTGCCATTGTGCACTGTACACAAATTTGTGACGTGGCGTCACAGCACCTCAACACCCCCCCCTCAACTTGCACATCGTCGATCCTGGTTATCCGACATAGCAGCAACAGGCGTGGCGTGGGCACCGCATTAGTTAAGAAGTCGGCCAGTTGATCCTCCGTGCGCACGTGCGCTAGCTTGATGCGTCCTGCTTCGACGTGGTATCGCACAAAATGAGCTCATAGGTCAATGTGCTCGCGCGAGGCGTGCAGCCTTGGCTGTCATCTATTCTGATCACAGATTTGTTGTCTAATTAAATCGTGGTGGGGCCTTCAGCCTTGAATCCCATCTCAAACAACAGGTAGCGTAGCACCTGCTAGCAGCAATAGTACTCCAGACGTTGAGCACCTTGTGTGCTTGTCACTCCCCAATTCGCGTCTTTCCAGCGTCGAACCGCAACCCGTGTGTAGACATGCCTTTGAGATAGTTCAGGACGCGGTAGTGTTTGCCACCCATCAGTGCTTTTTCACATGGAGAATCCAGGTACTGCGAGAATGTCGACAAAATTGCGCTCATGTCTGGCCTGGTAGATTGGCGACGTACAAAAGAGACCCAATTAGTTCTCGGTAGGCCCGATCACTTTTGTACACCTCATGCGATTCGTCCGGCGTAAAGCCCTGACCAAGCACCATCGGATTACGCGCAGCATTTGCTTTAGTTTGTCCGAATCGCTCGAGCATTCTTTTGATGAAGTGGGTCTGCCTCAACACAAGCTCTCCTTTTTGCATTGCATACTCAA